TGACAGATGGTCAATTCCCGGTATATACAATATAGACTTCTTAATATGATATGGCAGTGGTTCATTCCAAAACCTTTTTCGCTATAATTGTAATGTCTTAATTTTTTGTACAAATACTTTAATTAAGTAGTTTAAGTTTTACACCTACATTATTAAATCAAAAATATTTGGAAACCATCAACTTCAAAAGCAACTCCGTCAGAAATAATATGCAAGTCTTTTTTTATTTCTTAAAAAAACCTACATGACACATCCGTAACAAAAAACAGGACTTAGATCTATTCGAAAATTAATCTGACGAAATGAAATCTGAACAAATTAATTTCACATAAACTTTAAGTTTCTAGTGACTCACCACTACATTATAGGTGTACAGATAACAGGCAATTGTGAAAAATATCAAAAATATATATTAAAAAGATAAGGATATAAAAAGAGTTGATCGATGGACAGACAATGCATTTATGACCATGTTTGTTTTATATCATTTTATGTATCATCAGAAGTAAATTAGAAACATCATGGTATCAATTCGTTTCGCATAAATTTATAATAGCATGTTTTGCGTTTCAATGAATTTAATTTTAAAATTATCATAATATTAATCATACATAATTTCGCTTGCTTTATAGGTCATGTCCCGGGATTTGTATTTATCAAATACAAATCCCGGATTTATCGGTAACGACGATCAATCTCTCGCGAGTCGCCATCTGTTTTTTTTTCTCTCTGAGCGATACGATTTGACATCAGCAACATTTATGTCTACAATTATGTTTCTGAGAACTTTAATGAAAAATCTGCCCCGTCTCCTCAATTTGGATTACTGTATATAACCATATTTACAAATAAAATGTTACCCAAGAAGAAAATTTGATAAGCTAAACTTGGATTATGTTAGTTATCATCGTTTGAACAGAACTGTTTTGAGTCGCCCCCTGACAATTACGAGAAGCTATAGTTTGAGAAAACCCTTTATTCATGTCTCATTTTCGCTTTCACATCTTTTTTTAAAGAATTTTTACGAGTTGATTTATCCTGAAGATTATTATATTTAAGGAGTAATAACTCACATCAGGATTACATGTAAGCATGTTATTTAATAATTTATAAATAATTGTTTTTACTTTTGAGATAATAGAATTGATCAATTATTTGCTTTTTCCTCGAGCTATTTTTAGAATACAGCAGCTTCATCGCTGCTATTTAGAACACTTTACAAACTATGAGATTAGCATTCTCTCCATATTTATGAGATTATTGTTTAAAAATTATATATAATGTTATAGTTTTGGAGGCTTATAATGAAACAAGAGAAGTTGTTGTATTAAGTACTGTTGTATATGAAGTCATCTCTTCCTGTTTTATAATTTGCATTATTTGTGTTTACTGTATATATAGCAATAAATTTTGTCAACTTATAACATCTTTTCTACTGTCCGAACCGTAAAATAAACTTTAAAAAGAAAAACAAATATGAATAAAAAAAGAATAATATGAATATAAATTTGCTAATTTTGTGCATATTACAAAAATAAAAACATACATTTTATATGCGGCTGACTTTTAACTTAATACTGTAAGAATTATCCTTAAATAAACTATTTTAGGTTCTTTGGTGCACACTGTCAAATTTGAATTTTAGAAAGCTTTACTATATTGTTAGCACGATATTTTTGGAGAGAAAAAAAACCCAGAAGTATTGATACAGCCATGTCGGCGTTGACGTTGTCCGTAAATTTGTACCTCGATCATAACTTTTAAGTTCTTGATGAATTGTCTTCATACTTGGCCACAACAACCCTTGGGAAAGACTTTCAAGTCCTGACTAACCTTGACCTTCAGTCATAAATGACTAAAATAAATGACCTTAAATAGACCTTGACTGTCAAGGTGAAATTAATAAAATTCTCTTGTTTTTTTCCTGTAACTATAACTTTGGTTGTTATTGAATCATGTCGGAAAAAAATAAAAATCTCTGAAACAGCAAGGCAAACAACTTTGATATTCATTTCATTGTTTTGTGTGACAAATCTCTCCAAAGTCTGTACCTTAGTCAAATTTGACTGTATCAAATGTGTTTCTTGATTTTAACATAAAAGCAATAAATGCCTTCTTGTTAAAAAAAAATTAGCTTTAACGTTTAGAAACATGTAAATAATTTGTTTCATGGTCAAGTTGATCACAACCAAGTTAGTTCAAATTTTAACCCTGCAGCCCCTTGGGGGACATTGGCTTGCTTAAGTAGACTTTCCATTTTCTGTCATAGACAAAATTGGCTGACACTAGATATTTAGTATCTTCTCACTTTGTATGAAATTCTCTTACTCACTTGGATCAAGGTCAAAGTCAGCTAACGATGGAATTTGTGCCCAACATAGAGGCTCTGTTTTTGGTTATGTAAGATCTTTCTTGGATGTCAACTGTGGGTTTTGGTTTGAGATCAGTTTTGTCAAAATGAAGACCACAGAGGGTTAAAATATTTTTTAAATCTTTTTCTGATACAGTTGTTAGAATTTATTGTAGAATTATCAAAGATCATTGAATTTGAAGTTACATTCTTTTGTGAGCAATTGTTTTATAAACATGTACATTGTGTAAAAAATGACATTAATGCTACTGTAATATTAGATAATATACAGTGAGTAAAGTTGCATTTGTTATTTGTACTTAATTTGAATATTTATTTGTCTTGTATCAGTAACAATGTTTTAACATATCTATACACGGAGATACAACCAAATAAGAGTCTTAAACAGACATAGTAAAAGTATGTAGGCAAATATTGGGACTCGATGCAACTGGCGCAAGTTCCTTTGATTAGGCCTTTCTCAAATTATATGCATACTTTACATTCCATCACCAGAGAGAGGCTAACAGGGCATGAATGTAAACAAAAAATGGCTGACCTGATAAGCCCAAGCGTGTTAAACTTACAGGGAAAATCGCATTTTCATTGTTGTGTTCCACTATGTAATTCAGATTCTAGATTATGATAATACAATTCATTTTCATAAAATACCTAAAGATGTGAGTTTAAAAAAAGAATGGATTGTGAAAATTAGACGAGATGAAGGAGAATATTTCAAGGTAAATTTCCACTTTTTTTTTTACACAAAGCTACTATAGTTTTTTTAATACTCTCCTTAAATATACGGATTTCATAGTGTTTTAAATGATTCATTTTGTTTTTGACAAATAGAAAAATTACTTTTGTTCTAATAATTTATAGAAAAATCACAGGTATATAATTATGTATATCATTTAAGACATTTTTTTTGTTGCCTCCAGAATCTTTATCAAATACCGTATTTATACTAAACAGAACTAAAAGTCATTTTATTGTACTATTTCAGATCAATAGGACAACAGTTGTTTGTTCGAAACATTTCACACGAGAAGATTATCGATCATGGACACCAGTTCGAAAAATGTCTAAAGAAAACAGCTGTACCCTCAGTATTTGACTGGAGTAGTAACAGACCAGCAAGACGAACATTGAAGAGGAAGATTTTGTCAGATAAAGGTATAAAACAAGATTGTCAAACTTGTTTATTGTATATTTTTTCACATTGATTTAATTTCAGTCATTGTAAAGAAACACATTTGACAGATTATATGATATTGAAAAAAAAATATATATAAAACATATACCAGAAATGCTACAATTCGTGCTTCCAAATCTGAATAAAACGTATATATATGTATGTTTCAGTCCTACCATAGATGGCAGTCATACCATGGCCGCAGATGGACAAATGGAATTAGAACAGCCTTTAATTGCAACACTCTTAACATAACAGATGAAAAAGAAATTATAACAAAGTTGAAAGAAGAATTACAGAAAACTAAAGAAGAAAACAAACAGTTAAAATATCAATTTGATGTGGAACGTTTTGGTACAAACAGATTTTCAAATGATGACAGTTGCATATCTTTTTATACAGGATTTCCAACATATTTATCTTTCATAACATTTTTTCAATGTAATACAACCATCAGCAAAAAATATGAAGAGTGCTTACTATGAAGCAAGTGAAACTATCAGCTTAGCTGGTCGAAAGAGAGGGATGCAATTAGTTGATGAAATGTTTATGTTTTTCTGTCGCCTTCATGCTGGTTGTTAGAAAAAGACTTAAGTGTTAGATTCAATTGTTCAGTACCTACAGTTAGTAGAAAATTATAACATGGGCAAACTTTCTATATTTTATACTAGCAGATATTCCAATTTGGCTTTCCAGAAATACAATCCAAACATTAATGCCAGAAGAATTCAAAGCACTGTATCCTCGAACGCGTGTAGTAATTGATTGTACTGAACTGAGAACACAACACCTTCTTCACTTGTGCTTAAACTCTCAAGCGTTTTCAAATTATAAAGGGACAACAACAGTTAAATATTTGTTAGGCATTGCCCCACATGGTTCGGTAACATTTGTGTCCACACTATTTACAGGGTCAATGTCTGATGTAGAAATTACGAAATTGTCAGGTCTGTTGGAACTTATTGAGCCTGGAGATGATATTATGGCTGATAAAGGTTTTACTTTAAAAAAAGGTACTGCAGGAAAAAGGAGCCACATTAAATATTCCTGTTTTTTAAGCAACAAAAGACAATTTTCTGTGAGTGAAGTAGAAAACACCGAACAAATTGCTGGACTGAGAATACATATTGAACGTATTGACAGAAGAATAAAAGAAAACCATTTATTTGACACACCTATACCTCTGTCATTGATTGGCTCTATAAATCAATTATGGACAGTGGCATGCCTGACAGCAAATTTTAAAGGACCACTTGTTAAGTCATGGGCGTCATAATTTAAATAAAATGGTTGAAAAAGAAATCATCTACTTTGTCTTTTACATTGTTCCACAAGTCAGTGTTAAAATATATTGTTTCACAATGACTGTCATTTGTACACCAGACAAACAAATCACACCATTGTAATCCTGTCACCGCCAGCTGTGCAAGAATTTGGTAGTAATATATATGATTCTTATTTAATCTTAATGCCCCTGTTGCATCTTTTTGCAAAATAAGATGCCTCCAAAACACTAGAAACCTGTGGGCACTTTATTTCAAGAAGACCAAAGGGTGGTGTCATTGCAGTATTGTAAACCTTGCGATCAGGGCTTGCAGCTAACCAAGGTGCCCAAACATTAACAACAACTCCACATGGGTAGATGTTTACGTTTGATTTTTGTACAGAATATGCATTAGCCGCTGCTGGCTCAGAAGCTAACCCTTTTCTCATGGCTTCTGTTGTTACACGTCGGGTCGATTTCAACCGCTGTACCAAGCTTGACGGCTCCTTTTTCCGTTTGTAAATTCCTCCAATTTTGGAGGCAGTCAATCTGTTTTTTCTGATCTTAAACCACATCGGAGTTTGACTTTGTAATCGAGTTTGTTTTTCAAATCTTGCAGACTCGTTCATGGTAAGTTTCAAGTTTTCGAGGCTTGTTGATTTTTTTTCGTCTAGAACAACATTGTATGAATTACGCATAAAATTTGATGCTGGCAGTTGTGGAAATTCAACTCCGTCATATACATTAATAATATATCCAGAATCCAGTTTTTGTTGGTAGCTCAAAACAGACCCTTTTGGCGATTTTCCAAATTTGGTATCTACCATTTCAAAATCTTTTGCTTGCATAGCTGGTAACATCAGCATATTTGGTACAGCGGCAGAGAATATCTCAACATGTTCATTCCAGTTAATATTTTGTCCCCGGATTGGATTGTATAAAGTTGATTGAATATTTCTTGGAATGTTTGAAGAAGTGCTACTACTTGCTGCTGCCTTTCCCGAATAACCTCTTACTTCAAGGTCCTGTACAGCCTTGCCTTGAATTTTCATTCCTCTGGGTACATGGAATGTCTGGGGCTGGCTTGTCCTGGCAACATCTTCTGGAAGTGCCTTATACCCTAATGATTTGTAATTTGCCAGCTGGTACAGGGTTCCAACAACATGGCCACATAATCCAGTCAAGCCCACTGGACAAGTGCAATGAGCAAATGACACTTCATCTTCTCCTTTAGATTTGAATGATATCTGCAATAAAATGATTATCACTGGTTACATACAAGGTATAAATACATTTATTACATAAATATGATTATGTATGTTTTGAATATTTGATACTGCCATTATATAGCATTTTGTATTTCTTTCTTTACAAAATAAATTTGTTATTACATTGCTTAAAACACCACCATGTGATAGTACTGACATTTCCTTGATATGTTTAAGACAGGGGATGTGATATTTTTAAATAAAATATTACCTTTACTTGATGAGGCTGCTCATTCTTTCTTTGCGATCTGTAACATTTACCAGTTACTTGACAGCCATCAATAATTTTTGACACTGTAATACAATGTGAATTAACATATTTAATAAAACTTAAACAACATATTTAGGGGAAGTATGGTACAGGAATTCAGCATCCTTTTGTTTACATCTATTATCAGTTAATTGCTTATACACTTGACCAACAATTTGGGTTAGCAATAAAAAACTGATAACACAGATAATATTTGTATAAGTTGCAAATTTATAATAACTGGGAATATGAGAAATAGCTTGGAAATATTATATACTTTAACTCACCTCTAAGGTCTTGAATATAGCCTTCACTGTAGTATTTAAACCCTTTGTTGATTGATTTATCTCCAGAAGATTTTTTGTTACATTTAATATAGTTTTCAACAAAAGTGAATGTAATTAATGGTACAATATCAAGATCTCGATCACTGTAGGAAAACGCTTCAGCCATATTTCTATGAAATGTTTACATACAGGTATAAATGCTTGCCCTGTTAGCCTCGTTCTGGGAAATCTATGAATATGTATGAAGTAATATTAAGAAGGGTCTATGAGCTCAAGTGTTCTTATTTTAGAAGACATAAATATGGAGGGTACAGTGTAACATTACAAAACTTAATAAAATATGTCTGTTTTAACTGTTATCATAGATAAGAGGATGTTATACTTTAACATTAACTGTACTGTACATTGTAAGCTTTGAGGAATACTAGTGAAATTGAGCAGCGGGTATGAGTGTACATTTATAAATGGTCTCATATGTGCGTTATTATTAACATACTGTTATTTAAATTTTCAATACAGTTTTGTCACCAACTATAAAGAAGGTGATTTCATATCATGTAGGTCGTATGTGTATATTGAAACTTTCACTATGATCGGGTCAATATTGATGCACACGACCAAATTAAATTGACAGTAACTAAGTCCAGCTCCTCCGGAAGATATGATCATTTATTTGAACAGCAACACCTGATTTTCTCCCTGATGTATATAATGGTCTCATCGGCCTCCCATGCATCAAAATAGTAAAAATCACAAAAATCGACTTGCATACATCATTCTGTGAATTTTATAGGTCACCTTTTGACAGGTAATAATCTTTTAAGACACAAATGGTGACATGTCCTCGGTCGTACTGCCATTGCCTGAAAGGGTGGATAGGCCCTCATTAAGCATAGAACATAAACAAACACATGCACAAGTGAGTATGTAAATTCATATTTATAAGAGAAGATAATCTGCATAAATATTATGTCAAATAAAATGCCAACATGAACTTCATTATCTACAAAAGCGACTTGCTATAAATGATGACAGGCGAAATATACTTCAGAATTATAGGGAAAAGTAAGAAACCTATTCAACTGTATTTTGTTGATATTTGCCGTAATATAGGGCGATGAAACGTTAAAATGTGTGCTTATATCGTATGTAATGACCATAATATTGATTTAAACTAGTGATTAAAATATACTTGAAATGCGGAACTCACAATACTTATACATTTGTAAATGATTTGTGCCTTAAAAGTCAAAGTTTTTGTCAATACACGATGTAGCTTAAGTGTAGGCTGATGTTTTTTTTTAATATCATTTATTTCTATAAGAATATCATGAGATGTACTTAATATCATAATTGATAAACAGCGTTTTGACATATATGTCAGATGGTCAATTCCCGGTATATACAATATAGACTTTTCTTAATATGATATGGCAGTGGTTTCATTCAAAAACCTTTTTCACTATAATTGTAATGTCTTATTTTTTTGTAAAAATACTTTAGGTAGTTTAGGTTTTACACGTACGTTATTAAATCAAAAATATTTTGAAACCATCAACTATCAAAGTAACTCCGTCAGAAATAATATGCAAGTCTTTTTTTATTTCTTAAAAAAGCTTACATGACACATCCGTTAGATCTATTCGAAAAGTAATCTGACGAATGAACAAATGAATTTCACATAAACTTGAAAATTTCTAGTGACTAGCCACTACATTATAGGTGTACAGAGAACATGCAATTGTAAAAAATATCAATATATATATATATATATATATATATATATATATATATATATATATATATATTCATGTTGATGGACAGACAATTCATTTATGACCATGAATGTTTGTTTTATATCATTTTATGTATCATCAGAAGTAAATTAGAAACATCTGCATCATGGTATCAATTCGTTTCGCATAAATTTATAATAGCATGTTTTGCGTTTCAATGAATTTAATTTTTAAATTATCATAATATTAATCATACATAATTTCGCTTGCTTTATAATGTATAATTAGGTGGTCATGTCCCGGGAGTTGTATTTATCAAATACAATCCCGGATTTACGGGTTACGACGATCAATCTATCGCGAGTCGCCATCTGTTCTTTTTTCTCTCTGAGCGATACGATTTGACATCAGCAACATTTATGCCTACAATTATGTTTCTGAGAACTTTAATGAAAAATTTGCCCCGTCTCCTCAACTTTGATTACTGTATATAACCATATTTACAAATAAAATGTTACCCAAAAAGAAAATTTGATAAGCTAAACTTGGATTATGTTAGTTATCATCGTTTGAACAGAAATGTTTTGAGTCGCCCCTGACAATTATGAGAAGTTACAGTTTGAGAAAACCCTTTATTCCAGTCACTATTTTCGCTTCACATCTTTTTTAAAGAATTTTTGCGAGTTGATTTATCTTAACGATTTTTATATTTAAAGAGTATTTACTCACATCAGGATTACATGTAAGCATATTATTTTAATTATTTATTAATAATTGTTGTTGTTTTTTCTTTTGAGCGAGAATTTTCTTTTTTCTTCGGGCTTTTTTAGATTACACCAGCTTCATAGCAGCTGTTGATATTGAATATTTAGAACACTGATTAGCAGTTTCTCGGTATTTATGAGATTGTTTAAAATTTATATATTATGTTATAGTTTAGGAGCCTAATAATGAAACAAGAGAAGTTTTATTGATTCATGTGTATGTAAAGCACTGTTGTATATGAAGTCATTTCTTCCTGTTTTATAATTTGCATTATTTGTGTTTACTGTATATAGCAATTCATTTTGTCAACTTATAACATCTTTCTACTGTCCGAACCGGAAAATAAACTTTAAAAAGAAAAACAAATATGAATAAAAAAAGAATAATATGAATATAAACTTGCTAATTTTGTGCATATTACAAAAATAGTACATTTTATATGCGGCTAACTTTTAATTTAATACTGTAAGAATTATCCTTAAATAAACTATTTTAGGTTCTTTGGTGCACACTGTCAAATTTGAATTTTAGAAAGCTTTACTATATTGTTAGCACGATATTTTTGGAGAAAAAAACCCAGGAGTATTGATACAGTCATGTTGGCGTTGACGTTGCCGTTGTCCGCAAAGTTTTACCTCGATCATAACTTTTAAGTTCTTGGTGTATTGTCTTCATACTTGTCCACAACAACCCTTGGGAAAGACCTTCAAGTACCTGACTAACCTTGACCTTCAGTCATAAATGACTAAAATAAATTACCTTAAATTGACCTTGTTGTCAGGTGAAACTAATGAAATTCTCTTGTATTTTTGCTGTAACTATAACTTTTTTATTTATGATTGGATTTACTTCATATAAAGATACAACATCTTTTATGTCAGGACCTTCATGAATACCAAACTAAAATTGACCTTGACTTATGTATGACTTTGATCTTGAAGGTCAAAATATTTAATTTTCACTGATTATCGCTATAATTGGCTGTAACTTTGTAATTAATACTTGAACAAAACAACCCTTTGAACAAGACATTCTAAAGATTTAACTGAGTCTGACCTTGAACTTTAAATGACATTGACCGTTAAGTTTTTTATTGAATTTTGATTAAGTTGTCATAATTTCGTTATTTATGCACGGATTTGATTCATATGTGGACAGAAAAACACTTGTGACCAAACATACATGTGGCATAATTTAGACATGACCTTGACATTTAAATGACATTTACGTCAAATGATTGAATTTTGATTATATTTTGATAACTTTTTCATTCATCAATGGAAAGGATTAATACTTGGACAAAACAACAAGTGTAATTAAATAGGCAGACCTATCTAACTTAAAAAAAGGAAAACATATTTTATTTCTTTTATTTCTTTTCAAATATTTGTTTAAATCGTTTATTTGTTGTTTTTTTTAGAGAAAAAATTAAAAAAAGTCGAGTGTTGTTCCTGTCCAGCGATTGCTTTTACTGTTTCAACTTGAAATAAAATGCTTTCTTTTTTATTATTTTACGACGCTGGCTGAATTCTTCAACACAGATGGATCTGTTTTTAGGGGCATTTACCCCAAATAAAACTTGAATATTTTTCATATAGAATATGGTATGAATAAACATTAACCTGCAAAATGTTTTAAATTAATTGTTATACTCTTTAAACTTCTTGTCGGTTTTTGTATACACAGCATGAGCCCAATTTACAAATATAATAATCACACATTATCTCTTACACAATTATAATTTAATGTTTTGCAACATTCTGCGTTTTATATTTAATTTATTATTTATATGGTTAAAAGCAAACATTTCTTTATTACTGATATCTGGAATAAAAATATGGGATAAGGAAGTCTACATAATTGTGTTCTAATCAGAGAAAAAAAGTTGTTTCCATACAGGCATGCGATATAACGGAAATAAGTGCTTAAGATGCCTTTTATTAACATACATAGTACATGTATAATCCGCGCACGATAAACAGAAGTTTCTTCATATTTATTTATAGTACGGATATTTATTTATAGTACGGAACAGTCCATCTTAATACTACATGTATTAGGCACATCTTAATGATTGTATATTTGACAATTGTGAAAGTAAATATCGCAATAGCTCAATCGGTAGAGCACGAAGTTCAGAAGGAACCTACTCTACGAGTAACAGGTTTCAATCTTTTTCATTTTTTTTTATTTTTTCTCCTTCATGCACGAAACTACATAATGATCCTTCGATTTGAACCATGCGACAATGTGACATCGCGACAACACGCCGCACGACAATGCGCCGTGTGCGTACATCGTTAGCGACAGGACCACAAGACGAAAGTCCGACAACGCGCTGTTTGGGGCTTTGTCACTAGCACCAACACGACCCACAAAAGCGTTCCAAATCAGCCACCATACTTTCATATTAATTAGCGGTCTCACTTACTATGCTATAGTGTCAAACGAAGATAAGTACAATTATTATTGAAAAAATAAAATTAGTTCCTGAAAAATTACTTAAAACTGAAATTGATAAGTATATGATACCACACAACTTCATTCAATAGTATAAACTTATTTTTGATTAACCTCAGGGAAGGGCCCACGATAAATTGTGAGAACTTTTGTATGTACACCTGATAATATCTGTAAAATTATGAAATTGAATATTGTGTGTATATTTATACATTTATACAATAAAATATTATCAAACTATGATAATAAGTCATAAAATATTATTTGTATTAATTTTAATGTAATTATTTGGTTAATCACTTGCTGTGAGCAATTAAAAAATGGACTGTGCTTGCTGGTATTTTCAAAATTGACGATACCTTTTTTTCCACCTTAACACAGCGTGCGCTCATAGTGAATTATTGTGAATCCCTCTGTCCGTCTTCATACGTCGACATTCCTTTAATCATTATCTTCTGTGAGATAAACCAAACTAAATAGTAATGTTACTAAGGTCACAAGGATAAAGAAGGGGTTTAAAAAATGCCTAAATTTAAGTATTTTTCTTTCCGAATGTACAAGGCCGAGAGCTTTGGTATGTGGAAAAAAAAAAAATCTCAAACAGAGGTATCCCTCTGAAGCTCTGAATATGAAAATTGCATATTCGGTTTGATTCAGTCTTTTTATGAGAGAAAATGAAACAAAGTGCAATATCCCTTATGCCCCCCCCCCGGCACCGGCTTAACCGGTATTCAGTTTTCAACACTTTCGAGCTGGAATCAGTGTTCGCAATGGACCAGTAAAATGTAGCAACGCTGAAATACAGGAAATCTTCTGCCAAAAATATATAAAGTATATTAAAACATCTTTTTTTCTGAAACCTTAGATTGCTTTATAATTGGTGTGAAACATTATCCAATAAATTTCGATTCATTATATAATTATCATACCAAATTCTTAAAGGGTATAAAGCTATATCTCATGAAGTGTTTAAAGTGTTTTAAATTTATAAAAGGTAAAAATTTGTTTTTATATATCGTTGGATTTTCGAAAGAGTTGTAACATTGAAAGTCTCTGTTATGTGAAACACATGGATAGTGTACGTAAACAGAGTTATATGTTCCGAAACAAACATTATACTGCCATGTTAATAGGGTGTTACCTCCTGACCTGCTGAATTTCTTAAAAAGACTTCTCTAGCTTTCATATTGAAACAGTCTATTATCAATTTTTGGGATATCAAGTTAAAAATCTAGTCAGTCAACCAACAGTTTAGAGCCTAGTCAGACTGTGTGGATGTGCAGGCTGGTTGGCTCTAAACAGATGGTAAAGGATAATCAATTTTGATTTCAGCATGGTAAGAGTTAAGATACGACCAGCCTGGTGGGCACAATAAGAAACTGAAAAATTGACAACATAGGTCAGTTAAACGCGGTCAAGGACATCTGAGTGTATAAAATGTACTGTACAGTTTATGAGTTATGGAGACTTTTCTTAACAAAAGATTGAACGTAAGAAGGCTTTTTTCAGAAATAAGGAAACTCTAAGTAATATCATCCATATGATTTTTTTTATTATTGTTAAGAAAGAAATAAATAGAGGATATTTGTTTAGTTCAGTGTAAGATCGGAATATATTTCACCGAGTGAGCACCAAAAGGTGCGCCACTCGTGAAATGTGAACTTTTGGTGTTCACAAGGTGAAATATGTTTCGATCTTACATTAAACTAAACAAATTTTCTTTTTATTACATGCAAAGAAACGTTTTGAAAAGACATTAAACCTAATACTGAATGAAAAGCGCGCCAAATAATAATACAACGTGACGTCATTTACGACGTCACGTCATTAAGTTGGTACCCAGTACTGTGTACGCTGGTATTTGACTGAAACAACGTAAGGGGCTTAAATTCAAAACAGTGAAATTATCAAAGTGGTAATTTCGCTGTTTCAAACAATGAAATTACCAGTTTTATATCACTGATATATTTCTATAAACCAATGAAAAGCATGTAAAAATATCATTAAACTAGTCACAAAAGGAAGAAGATATTGGCTGTTAAGGAATTTGGCATTGTCCAACTTTTTCTAAACTACATACGAACACACGCGCACACGCACACACACACGCACGCACGCACGCGCGATCGCACACACGCACAAACACACACACACACATAGCTTTATACACTTTAATTATGACCTGTATATTGAATATTAAACGTTTCTTGTTGTTGTCTTTTTAAGAAAAACATGCCCATGGTTATCTGTTTGGAAGAATGACTTCAACAAAGCCTGCGCGATATGGTCATTTGGTGGTAGCTATTCGTCACTGTGGAGTAACTTTAACAAAGGAATTATTCCTGAAAAGAGTCAGGGATAAGACACCTGGAGAAACTGACCATGCTTGGAATGTAGATGATTTTTTAAGGGAACATAAAACAGAATTGCTCAAGCATAAGCAGATAAATGCAAACAGATATAAGTTTTACCCCAGGAGTAAGAAAAAAGCAAATATCAGTGAGTGGGACTTGAGCACGCTTTGCTTCCTACTGTTAAAATTCTGCGATCTGAGACCAGAGACGCGCCAAGACATATCTAGTTTGCAAGATTTAAGAAACAACGTCATTCATTTTGGAGGTACTGATGACATTTCAGCAGACATATATGAAAGTTATATCGAAAGGTTGAAGGGCATCACTGACAGGTGTACAAAAGAGCTTGACAACCATCAGCTTAAGTCAGAACTAGAAAATGTCATTTTAAATGACCAAAACATTCAAGAAGAAGACGTTGAAGAAGGAGAAGAAGAATTAAAACAATGGTTTTACGAAGAACAAAGTTTTCAAGTTGGAATTGCAATTGAGAGCGATGGAAAGGGTATTGAATTTTCTTTTTCAATGACTTTCATCAATGATTTCTAATGAAGTTAATGATCATATTGCATCATCTAAGGTGTACCGTGTCTTTATATAATAACTTCACTTTCCTTGGCATAAATATATTTTTTATTTTTCAGATGTTGACGAAGTAAAGACAAGCTTGTTGAATTATCATTTGAAATTTGAAGAAAATCATCGGTCGACAAATATTGAGATGTGTAAAACGATTAATACTTTCTCTCGGGTTCACAACACATGTTCAATTATCGTTTTTAAATATTTATAAAATATGTCATTAAGGAAAAACTGTAAGTGATAATTAACCAGGTTGTAAATTAATTTTTATGCTTAAACATTTAATTTCTGAAGACTTGTTTCAACGAAACAATAAACTCTCTTTGGCGTACGTGGTCAAGTGGGTAAGGTCATTGACTTCAAATTATTTACCCCTCACCGATGTAGGTTTTCATTCTTTCAAGTGATGAAACTAACTAGGAAATTTACGGAACGTCGATGGTTCTACTCAGGTGTCTGCCCGTGCCTGAAATTATGCAAGAGTGGGGCACTAGAGGGTCTTACTCCAACAGTAAAGCTAGAAAGTCGCTATGTGACATTAACATTCTTGGTGCGCCGTAAAAGTAAAACCGAACAAAAGAAATAAAAGAAATTCTAGGAAAGAAATTAAATGTTTTTGATGTTATAGGTAGAAATAACAAATCATAATCTTTTATTATAGCAATATCGGTTGGTATTTGTTGGATGGCTGGAAACAAAAATTCAAAAGAACTTGCAGCAGCTCAACAAGACTTATCATCGGGAACAATTTCCCCTGGAGAATCGTCAGCAAGAAGAACCTTACGAATAAATATAGAGAAGATCTCAGACGACGTTCGTAAAATGGGAGATCCTGATGTTGAGAACGTTGGACCTGGTTCTATTATATTCAAGTTCACATGTTCCTCAGTAACATCAGTGATATACCTTCTAGATTACTTTAGTGGACCAATAATAGGAAGAAGATTGCAAGATATGTCAAAAGCAATTGAAGAAATGGTTGAAGACTTCGTGACTTTGCAAGTATATATTCCTAATAATGTATACGAGGAAATAATCAAAACGTTAGGTATGTCACAGTTCGTTGTTTTCATATTTACATGCAAACTATCTTTGTTTTGTAATTTTTGAAGTACATGCAATAACGAAGTTTGCATTATCTTTATGATAGTATTCCAAATGAATCAACTAGACATAAATGATTTTTGAATTTTGAATGCCTGCTTTGATATTTTGTTTAATTTTTTTTGTAATGAAGATACTTCATTTTAGTTGCGAATTATTAGGATACGATTTTACCTAATCATAATCATAAGAACAATGATTATAATCATAATAATAGTAAGTATAGTAATAAGAATAATAATAAATATAATAGATCGATTGACAGAAGGCAAAATGAACAATCAATTTATATCAGTGAAACGGGTGTAAGTTTTCCAAAACTCATTCCAGATGCTGTGTTATCAAATGAGGAAAATTTAGGAGCTGTGGGGTACAAAAGGCAAAAGTTAAGCGCAAAGGTATTTGTATATTGGTCGTCATATTTTTATTCAAAATAGATATTTAGCCGTTCGTTTTTTTGGCTTATTACGGGGAAGGTATTTAAGATAATGGTTATGTTTTTAAGTAAGTAAATACTTTTATGTTGTTGTATTTGGTTATGTATGTCACCATTCAAAATGATCCTCTTGAAAACAAAAATATTTTCCACCATTTCCAGCGCAGTCCTTATTTGTAAATTACTTTTTTAAAATTACCTTTATGTTTCTATTACCCTGTTATAAAACCTTTTAAATAGACACTTGACATTTTCTTCATATTTCTGTCACGCTTTGGTGTTTGCCACTGATAAAAATTGCAATTATCAGACAGACTATCACCGAGCATGTATCCAGCATCACGCTTTCTTTTAAGCTTAATTTTTAATTTAAATTCGAAGTATTATAGTTGAAGTATATGGAAGCCCATAAAGCATGCGATTTTGTTATAATCAAATTATTCCAATCATTGTGTTTTTCCAATATTTATATTTACATATTATATCTGTACTTTATTTTTTTTTGAAAGTAAAGGAATTATAATAAGTACCATGAGTTTAAGTTCTCACTTATGGGTCTTATTCAAGTTTATTTATTTCCTTTTTTGAATAGATTTTCAAGGACCCGCTATATGGCCAGATAGAGATTCATCCTCTATGTTTGAAGATAATCGACACGCCACAGTTTCAAAGATTGAGGCACATAAAGCAATTAGGGACTCTTTATTTAGTTTATCCAGGAGCAAGTCACAACAGATTTGAACATTCTATAGGGTATGCAAGTCTATATCTATATTTATCTATGCATTATGTTTCTCGTTTCTATTTGAAAACAAGATAAGTTATGTTTGAACTAAAAGTAAAACGTTAAAATTGATGTATTTTATAACGAATTTATAGAGTACGTCAATGAACTAATGTATGAATATGTCACGTGTCTTGAAAGCTTTTTGGAGTAGAATACTACCAGTAGTCTGAGGTAGATGGTTTATTCTATTTAATAAATTATAGGGTATGCCACTTAGCCGGAAAGTTGCTAAGAGTTCTTAAAGAACGCCAGCCTGAGCTAGACATCACATCAAAGGATATACTGTGTGTAGAGGTTGCTGCGCTTTGTCAAGATCTTGGTAAGTACCATTTAACATTAAACATAACTAAGATGTCTACAAAAAAGCTGTATTGGAGCCCAATTTGGAGGTACTTGTAATATTTAACCTGTTAACATGCAATATCAAAACAAATTCAAACAAACACAGATCAACAATAATTTGAAATATTTAAAGCAAAATATAGTCCCACAGAATGCTAAAGTGAATGGCTGTTGACTAAAAATCGCGTTAATATCATCAATGAACATAATGATTAAACTAATTGTGTCTTGCACTTTTTATTTTTTATTTGTTTACATAACTTTGGCCCAGACAGCAATTGAACACTGAGGAAAGTGTTTTAACGGATTACTTTACAATTTACTTTCTTTTGATTTTACAAATGTATTTTTGCATTATAGGCCAGGGTCCATTCTCTCACGTGTTTGAACAAAAATTCATACCATCATATATGTGTCCTGGTGATGAATGGAGGGTAACATTTTTTCTTTGTTTATCTACACCTTAGTATGCTTACATTATCCTTTCGGTGATATTACCTATGATAAGAATACTCATATACTCATAATAGAGTATTAAATGATTATGTGCACTGGGTCTATGACAATGGAAACCAGGAGAAATTAACTCTGCAACGTAATAATACCGGTATATAGATGCTTTACCTTGTGCCATATCTTGTTGTTTTTGTTTGGGGTCCTGCTGGGCTCCTTGCAGGTGGCCCTGTATTGCTGGGTTGCGTTAGGGTTTCGTTTATTTTTTGAACGCCGCCATTCTTTCTTAATCTTGTTTTTCATTCATTTATTATGTGAAAAGTGAAAAACGTAAATGATTTAGAGAACTAATTGCCTGTTCATCACGGCAAGTAAAAACTGTAGGTGTGTTGGTTTTAGAATAAGTTGAGATAATTTGGATTATTTAAAGCAGCACGCCTCCAGATTTATGTAAATTTAAATAAAATTTTTGGAGATGTATTTTAAAGTAAAGTAATTTGAGTTGAACAAATAAAGTAATTTACATATTGCAATCGGCAAATTTTTTTTTTTAAATCCACGAAAATTACCAAAAAGTCGTCAACATAATAAATTATGCAAAAAATAGTCCTTATTGCATTTGTAACGCAGTAGAAATATGGTGATAAAATACTGCAAAATCAGGGTTAAATCGAACATATCATGTAAAATATAAATTGGATCTTGAGAATGTTTTTATCTTTCTTAAATGTTTAGAACATTTTTCTCAATATTGATTTTCTTGAAATATTTTGGATCATCTGGATGCGTACAGCTTTAATTGTATTGTTTTAAGATATAGATATTTAAGATATTGATAAATATCGTTCAATATAAATGAAAATTGTTTTGTTTCATTTAGATGAAGATTTCCTTACATAAACAAATTTATTTTTTCTCCTCAAAATGAACAGATCTCCTTATTTACTCATTTTCATATAGAAGGAAAATAGTTTATTTCACACCACATATGCTTAAAGGTATGACAATTATGATTGAACGTCTAATATATCACCAAATTTAAAAATATTATGACGATAACGCTGTCTGTAGGTTTAATATCAAACGAATTTTTAGCACGAGATGACCTCAGTGAAGATGTTTGAGCAAATGTTAAGTGAAAACAATGGTCAACTGTATGATGACTTCAAGTGGATGATACCTAGTTTTGAAGACAGAGATATTACATTCATAAAAGAACTCATCGGTGTTCGTCCGAACATTAATGAAGACGTTAGTATAATAAAATAATTTCTATTAGGTATATAATCGTACATTTTTATACAACAGAGCTTGTATTCATGAAAACTTTATTGTATTTAGTCCGGTGTTTTAACTTATGTAATAAACATTTCTTAGTCCAGTGTTCAGTTGTATAAGCACGTTTTTAAGTAAATAAATTCGTTTCATAAAAACACCTCACTATTTATTTTCATATTTTTGTTTATACCAGACTTTATTTAAAATTGTATCATGAAATAGAAAAAGAAATCTTGTAGAGTTGTTTATTGTTAAAATGTACATTAGTGTAATGTATAGTTCTGGTGGGTCGAGAGTGTGTTTTGTGAAGTGCGATTTTGTTTTGTTGAAATCTTTTGCGATATCTCTAATGAACAGACTCAATCAAACCGAGTCTTTAATTTTCATATAATGTTGACATTTCATTAAATCTGATAGTTATTCCTTTTAACCAGATTTTTAACATCGTTTGATAATATCTATTCTTCTATTCATTTTAGAATTGGCCTTACAAAGGACGAAACAAGTTGAAGAGCTTTCTTTATGAGGTATTTTTACTGAAAGTTAAAACAAGTAAAATATACTTCTGTAAAATCACGCAGTTAACGTACTCATATGGATATATTTGGAGATACCTTTATCAGAAAGTGTCTCCGTTGTATAACAAAATGGATTTTTTAAGAATACAGAAAGAAACGTTCCTTAAATATTCAACGACTATATTTAATAAGGTTTAATGATTCTTTCACGAATGCGCCGCTCGCTTTATAGGAAATTAACAGAAAAATCCTTCCAATTTTAAAATTTTCTCACTTTCAATTTTTGGCATTTTTATAAAGATACCAACAACCTTTGGACTGCTGACAAATAGCCAAGTTAAACTTTATACGTTTTCAGATTGACGGCAGTCTAATGTAGGTATAATTTGTAACTTGAAATTGTATTTTTAGTACAGAATCAAATAGAGAAAAACAGAATCCCTTAGAAATCAACTATCAATATTCCACGTTTAAAACGTGATCCTTGATCTGGTTGAAAGCATACACATGAATTAAGGATGAGTGTGTCTAGAATCTCTTTTGGCATATATGTAAATAGTAAAGTAATGCATTTTTTAAGAACATAAGAACATACATATTCCTGCTATAGTTTTAAATCAGCTTGTTACTTTTTAAATCTTACAGAATGTATATGTATGTCAATGTGTGTAAACGAAGCTTTCCTGGTTTTTCTGAAGAGTCGATGTTAATTAATTCATATGGTCAGTGTGTTTTAATGCAGGTAATATCGAACCCCGTGACAGGGATAGATGTCGGTATATGGGACAGTATAACCCGAGACAGCTACATGTTAGGGATGGATATTGCTTGTGACCATGATAGATGCATACAACACGCGCGGGTTCTTACTGCAGACGGAAGAAAACAAATCTGCTACAGAGAAAAGGTAAAATTGCTAATGATACTATCATATATTGAGAACAAGAATATTCTTTCAATATAAATCTATGCTTTTGTTTTATTGTTTCATAAACATCTTGTGTCATTCATGTTTTGTGTCCGACAATGGGCTCTCAAATAGATCACATTTGCAATAAAACGTTAAAATTATCACAAATGCAAAACATGACTTGTTTACTTTTATTTAGTATGCCGATATTTAAATTACAAATTATCAAAATGTTATTATATTTGTGACTCGTATCAAAATGTTAAGGTGTTTAACTGAATTAATGTACTAAGGAAAAATGAGCATACTGAAATGATATATCATAAATAACTTAATCTTAAAAGTTACAACTTAAAAGCACAAATTAACATTTCAGGCAGCACAGAACTTGTATGATATGTTTTATGCAAGAAGTAGTCTATTCAGGAGAGCATACCAGCATAAGACACACAACATCATTGGACTAATGTACGTCTAACAAATCCATATTATTCACAAAATAATAAATTTCAATAGTTTCAGATTTCTGATGAAATGAAATTTGATACTTTTAAGTTTGTAACGATGCAATGCTTTTTCAAAATCACATATGATTTGATAATCTCAGATATTAATTTCTATAAACAACTGATGAAATAATAGAAAAATGGATTGAGATTTATCATTTAAAGATAAGATATCTTAACTTGTTGCATTTCAGGATATGCAATGTATTGCGTGATGCAAATGATCACATTTCATTTGTTGGAGAAAACGGGTAATGTACTCTCATTCAACTTGAATCATTTAACTTAAATATAGAAGATTGTGTTATTCTGCTTTTTAAATAAGAGTCTTCTTAACATATTATTGTGCTTAAATCTCGTGCATGTAGACAATAGCAATCAATTGACATATTTTCTGAAAACTATTAATGTTATGAGCATTTCAAGGTGATTGATATTAATTTCGTTTGGAATAGATTTTGTTCATGTGAAAAAGATACATTCTTTGTGGTGTTTAACATATAAAAAATCGTTTATATTGGAAAATATAACAAATGCATACAATGTGTATTGTGGATATTTGTATCACATGTCTTGTATGTGCTACATTTTGAAAAATATCATGAATATGTAATATTGTAAACTGACGAGTACGAACCAGCTAAGTGCTTCATTTTGCACTTCTTTGATGACATTTTCAGAAGTTTTCAATTCTTTCAGGTTTGACTATTCAAAGAAACCTTTTGTTTATTTTATGTTTTTAAAGGGCCAGGGTGAAAATGTCTGACACAATCTACGATATGAAGGCTTACACACATTTAACTGATGACGTCATTCAAAAGATACAGCGTTCTTCAAAAAAGAGTCTTGAGAAATCAAAATCTACCTTAGAAAGAATAATTCGCAGAGATTTCTACAAATGCATTTGCCAAATACAAGTTAAGGTGACGAAGGTAATTAAAGGATATTGTGTAAAAAGTTCTTGCTAACCATGTCATATCATGTACCAATACGACAGAAAGAAACACTGTCCGTGGTACTTGCATGTCTTTTACAAATTAAGTATGTAACTGTGAAACTATGACACAATTACATTAATATCATTATCTCAAAATTAATATCATTATCTCAAAATTTAAAATGTAGTTTAACATTGAGAGGATATAGTAATTGGATGAAAAACTTCGACGATAGACGTACATTTAACTCTCGTGAATTGTGCGTAGTCGAATTATTTTGCCTCTTACAACCATAGGCGCATCAAAACACATTAAAAATGTCAAGATATAGTACCGAAATAACCGCATGAAAGTGTTACATGGTAAAATACAAATGAATAAAAAAACGCTTTTCTTCAAACCGAGGTAAGATCTAAGGTATTGTTTAGTGTAGAAGTTAGACCCGTAGTCCGTACAGTATTTAAATCAAAGCACAGAAGGCGCTGAATTAGTTTGGGTCTCAGAATGTCAGAAAGGTGAAGGTTGTGAGATTATAAAACAATTTGTTTTTGTATAGTGCCACCAATGTTTTCCAGCGTTTTAATTGTAGTAGATTAGCTATAAGACTAATTGCAACACTAAAATTCAATCCAATGTTTATTTGACTTAAACAATTTGAAAAAAAAATGAGTTACCTTAACTGGAATTTGAACTCCAGACCTCTCGCTTCAGCGCGCAAACCTCTCGGCCACGGTGAATTTACATGATAACGGCTTGAAGAAAACCATATTATTCTACATTAGGGTTTGTAACGACGCTAACTGTTGTTTAACACTTGTGTAAATAATCATGGCGTTTACTATAAGCATGTATATCTATAAAGAATACAACAATGTTAGAAATCTTCGACCATTCGAGAATTATTTTGCTTGAAAATGAATGCGCCTGTCATGTGATCATATTTACGCAGTGATCTCCCCTGAATTTTTTGGACTTAGTGTTACATATAAAGGGAAGTAACCGCTTCAAAAAAGCGGACTACTTTCGGCATTTGCAATTAACAGCATAAGAGTCTGACGACCCAAACAAATAAAAACGAGCGGACATCACATTATAACCATATTCATTCCATAAGCTAGCTGGATTGAGGCATTCCGTTACAATTTCTAATTAACTCAAATACAACTATCGGCATGTGAAAAACAATACTACTCTATATAATCCAGTTTTGCCGAAAGATAAAAATATTTTATGAAATCAAAATAACTAAATTTTTTTCAACAGACAAATGTTTCACGTACAAAATATAGATTCTCTGAGATGTTATATTTCTATTAATAAATACTTACTATTTCTTTTTATTTTGTCATAAATAATTAATAATTAATAGGTTGATACATAAGTATTGCACATTGTTTTATATATGTTTATAAAAATCTAAAACGGCATTTCTTGCATTGCAGAGAGGTTGGTTTGAGAAGACATCTGTCCAAGAAAACTTGTTTAACAGGATTAATCAGAAACGAAATGACGTGACAGATTTGTCAGAAATCCTTGAAATAGATGTATGTAAACGCCATGATACAACGATTCTTACATTATATTTCTATAATAATTCAGTGAACACGGAAAGGTCAATACATTAATGTCTGGAAAAATTAAGTTAAAGGCATGATTCAAAACACCTATTTTGATTGCGGTGATATTTCTGCTTACACCCTGATTCAAAGATCCCTAGTTTTATTGTTGTAATAATTCCGCTTACGCCATGATTCAAAGATCCCTAGTTTTATTGTTGTAATAATTTCGCTTACGTCATGATTCTAAGATCCATAGTTTTATTGTTGTAATAATTCCGCTTACGCCATGATTCAAAGATCCTTTTTTTGATATTTGTAATAATTCAATAATGCCTTTATCATTATGATTCACAGGTTGTTAACCTGGATTACGGGAGCAAGGACAAAGATCCAGTTACAAATGTCTGGTTTTTCAAAAAAGGCCACCAAGAAGATATACCTATACGAATTGATAAAGACCAGGTAAATTTACAAAATTCATCAACATAATTTTACTTGCCTTAACATTCAGAATTGTATGTTTTACGTCTAGTCACCTCAATTAGCTTAAAATTTCCTCTTATTATGGTTTCTGATTTGGTGAAAGTTAAAGCGATATTTATTAGAATAGGGCAATGGTTTTCGTTGTCATATAAACAAGACTTTCCATGAACAGGCTCAATCAAACGGAGCCTGCAACAATTTCTATTTTGCCGTGTTGGGCTTTCTTTAGTTTTTTTATTTTATCCAACTTTTTGCAACTTAAAAGTTCAGATATCTTTTTTTTTATTCTTGCAATGATTATGAACTCATGTTATTTTTTAACGAAAGAACAATCTATATACATGTATATATTTAACACATTGTTGTCGTTGTTAAAGGAAAAGAGTTTTATATTGTTGAGTAAATAGTATTTTCCTAACTCGTCATAGGTGTCTTTTGTCTTACCCGACACGTTTGCGGAGCAGTCTGTTCGAGTATATTGTAGTGAATCAGATCCACAGTTATTCGATGTTATTAAAGAATCTTTCGCAGAATGGTGCGAGGAAAATTATATTTCGCAACCAAAGGTTATATTACTTATACTTTTTTATGCCATTCAAAAATATTCTGGGGTATGGTAGTGAATTAAGTTTTGTAAGTAAATTGAATTTCAGTATAACATTTCAATGTTCCGTATTTATTTCCTCAAAAAGTTAAAAATAAAATTTTATCCTGTAGATTTTAAAATATATATTCACATTTTGTCTATCATTTTAGGATTCCTGTGAGCCGTTGGAAAGCTCCTCGGGACATCTTTGAGAAGAATTTTAAGTTGAGTATTCAAGCAGCCATACTGTCACTGTAAATGTCATTTGACAACCTTCATTATCACCGATCCGTGATAAATGATCCAAATAATCTTATAATACGAAAACTTTGCTGTTTGATAATGAAAAAAAAAACACATTATTATGAAACAGCTGACTAACTTCTATTTAAGTTTATAATATCGTCCATGTGCCATAGCAGATGTCCTTATAGCACTTAATTAAGTACCTTCAGTAACATGCTCTTGGAAATGTATTCCAATTTAAAAACTGAAAAAGTTTACTTTGACAGTTTTGGAGGAATTGACCTAATTAAAAACAAAAAGTAAATAAAGGGGCCTAACTTGCAAAGATTATTTTTAGGATTATCTGCCCTTCTGAAATGGTGTTATGTTTTTAAAGGGAACATATTTATCGATATAGAAGTGAATTACTTTGATAGTTTATAATGAAATGGACATTAACAAAAAGGTTAACCAGATATAAAAATTTAAGTTGAAAAAGTGGCATGGCTTTGCAAAACAATAAATATGTTTACCAAGTTAAGAGTGAGTAGCTTTGATAGTTTCTCTGAAAAATGACTTAACAACAAAGACGCCAACGACGACGAAAGGATCATTCAATAGCTCCCCCTTTTTCTTCGAGACGTGCAGCTTCAAATTGGTCAAAACGTTCCTGTCAGATAGACAAGAAATATTCTGGTCCATGCAGACAATATCCTCTGGTGAGCGGTAAAGGGCAATCATGGCCCTCTTGTTCAAAATTTTATCCAATAAATTTTACAGTTTTTCATTCTCGTATACCCCTTTAAAATTACTTTCTTTTAAGATTAACATATATATCATAAGCTTATACTTATTATTGGCTTGGTATTTTTGCATAATAATCAGGCAACTCATTTGATGTGTTATACATGTTTTTAACAGCTTTTTTCATCCACTATGCCTTGTATCTTAGAAATATTCTTGTTGATAAAACTGATGTGTCTTTATTCAACAAAAGAAATAAATGCTGTAAACATGCATTGACAGTTAAAATGTCATTATTTTTGGTAAGATATTTGATTTTGTTTGTTTGTGGTAGCTGTCTGTATGTAGAATAAAATTAATCACCAACTTTTGTTTTCTTACTGTCTTCCTGTGATCCTTTGAGCTCATTCATTTGTATGCTGATAGATGAAAAAAATATATCCTTTACTACATCACAAATAATTTAAAAGGGAATAATAGAAAGCAGTTTTGTACAATAGTTTTTGATACCAAATGTATAATATGATATGGAAACTATTAAATATAGAATGCATATTTAATATTAGGAAAAACTTCCATTTTGTTAAAGCTATAATTATACTTATGTTATGTAGTAAATTATTTTCCGACATATTCAACCGGTTATTTTCATATCTTTTCAATTAGATATCAACAATACAAGTAACAACAATAAGCTGAATATTCATAGTATTTCCATTTAAAAATGTAAATCAGCTTTTGTTTCTCGTCATTTTTCAAATGGACGTCGCGTAAAACGTACGTTAAATGACAGAAATTACAATTTTACTATTTCTAAATATACGAGGCGTTTAATTTCATTTTCATTACCGTTCTCGAGAAGGATATTTAAATGACAAACAGGATTGATGACCTTCACGGTGGAGTTATCTTATACATCAAAGATTTGCTGTTCTACAAACACCGTTTTGACCTGGAACCAATAAATACTGACTGTCTATGGGTTGAGATTATATTCTCCCAAACAAAACATATTCTGTTCGGTGTTTTTATCGAACCCCCAATGCAGATGCACTTTACACAAATTTTATTGGGGATTCTCTTAAAATGGCATTAGACACAAATATAATAGACATCATCGTCACTGGAGACTTTAATTTTAATCCATAAAATTCTACTTTATCACGCAAACTTCAACAGTATCACCTTGAACAGCTAATTAATGATCCTACTCATTTCAGCCAAACGTCAGCCTCTGTTTTGGATCTTTTACTTGTATCTGGAAGTCATCATGTTTTTACTTCAGGTGTTGCAGAACCCATATAGACCAGACCAAACCTTTGCCTTGTTTTTTGTGCAATCTTTTCATTTTCTATACCAAAATCATGCATTTTTAAACGTATTGTATGGTTTTATAATCGAGGTAATTACATCGTCCTTAAACACCACATTATGCAAACAGACTTGGATCAATATAGTAACAATGATATAGATATATACCCTACAATATTCTTGAAAACTCTCAAAGCAGTGTATTCCAACAAGAACAATAACAGTTTAACCAAATGATGCAGTGTGGATTGCGTCACAAAATAAAGAACTTATTCGTAAACGTAAGAAAGTTACCACATAGCAAAACGTACCCAAAATCATATGCACTAGGTCAAATTTAAACAACTTTGTAATAAAATTATTTCACTTATACAAACTGCCAATCGAAACCATATATAGAAACTGGCAGACTCACTCACATCTGATAACATGTTACAAAAAGACTGGTGGTGAGTCCTCAAAGCATTTATATCACCGACTGAAAAACAAATAATTCCTGCACTCTAACAGACTGATATTTGACAATAAATCAAAATCTGATGTATTAATCACCTTTTCTGCAGTCTGTCTTCTCTTGATAATTCTAATAAAGAAACTTCCATCACGTTTACACCTCAAGATGTCGCGGATGCTATCAATACTCATTATATCAAAAAAGCATCAGGGCCTAATGGAATTAGCAATCGGATCTTCTGTGAAAGGGTTGCCGTAAATAAATATCCACTTTTCTCCCTGTTCATTCACTTCACTGCTGCAATGTCCAACAATCTTGGAAAGATGCTAATGTTTGCCCAATTTATAAGAAAGGTGACCCTTCTCTGCCAAACAACTATCGCCCTATATCACTTTATTGTTGTATTGAAAAGGTCTCTGAAGGCATTTGGTTAAGTATCTTTAACTTTCTTCATGAACTATCCAAAATAGCCTCTTTCACATTCTATCGGCTTATTGCAATGTTCCTCTTCCAACACTACTTAGAGATAACAACAATATAAATGATGACATTAACACCCGTATATTCCAGGCAGTTCAAATACTTATCCGAGATAGCAAATAATTTTCATAGTAATTTGCAAACTCTGCTCATTCCATTGACATACCGAATTGATCCTATAATATCTTCTTTTTAATACAGTGTTGCACCATTTCTACTCCAATATGAATCCATCTCACCTTTTTCTGATCAACAATCTCAATTTGCTATTTTTCTGTGTCATTTTACTAGGTCATAGTATAAAGATATGTTTAAACTTAAAACATATTATGGCAAGGTTTCCTATCTACTAGTAACTTATCTCAACTCCATAATTTTCTGCTTTCAGCTCTGAATTTACACTTTTACCTTCCTCATCTTTCAACATTCATTGTCAATAAAATGTTTTTATAATATATATATAATATTTCGAACATGAAATTTACCGCCAAATTAATAGTAACGAATTTTATGTTAGGAAAATACTTTTATAAGCATTGAATGCTTTTGGATCTGGTAATTTTATATCATTGTAAATTATGTAAGTAATGAGTGTTTGTAAAATATGTTTGTGTGAAAATGTTTAAAATAAAATATGTTTAAACTTATTTTAAATGACAAATATAAATATATATATATATTATTTATATGCTACGATATTAGCCAACCACGTCCCAGTATGCTTTTTTGTTATTTCTCTATAGTTTCTAAAATAATACTCACAGACCAGTTCCCTTAACTGTTTCTTTTTTGGCAGTAAATGCAAATAAAGTGATTTAGAACTTTTATTGAAGTCTAGAAACTATTTTGTTTACATTTTGCAACATTTTATGATTCAGCACTACATTATTCAGATAACAGGCATCTTACATCCACTAAAACCATTAATTTCAGCTATTAAAACTCAAGAAAGAATGTGCCTTTATTGTGTAACGAAATGTGAAGCCTCAGTAATTACTCACTCACTCACTCACTCACTCACTCACTCACTCACTCACTCACTCACTCACTCACTCACCAACTCACCAACTCACTCACTCACTCACTCACTCACTCACTCACTCACTCACTCACTCACTCACTCACTCACTCACTCACTCACTTACTAACTTCATTGAGCCATTCATATGTATAGTATTTCCTTTTGCAAGTGCATGTGGAAAGGATTCTATACACTTGACTTATTTTTCAATCCACGATTTTATTTCACTGTGCTCGATCAATATATGTTTGTTGCATATTTCAAGTCGTACAATTTGGATATAAATTATCTATACAAAGCCTTAATAAGTATTGCATCGGATTCATTTATACTCGGCAGTAAATCAAAATAGTTCAAATGTATATAGACATTGATTGCACTGATAACAATGACAACATGTCAAATTTGAAGGTCATTGTTTACTAGTTGTGCAGGCATTTATTGTGCATTTTAGTAAAATAAAAAAAAATAACCAAGGCTAGCTCGATAGTGTAATCTATACATACTTATAATCTGTCACATATCGCATTTAAAGGAACGCTAAGGTAGACTCAACTTAATAGGACATAACAAAGAACAGACAAATCAAAGCAAGGTTTAATTATCACGGTAAGATTATTTCTTCTTTTTTTTCTAACATTTCACATTAAACAAATTTCCTGACATTGTTTGATTGTATAAGAAATAAGAATTAATATTATATGTTCTTGAAGGAATACATCGCGACTCTGATAATCTTCATGGAGATATAATCTTTATAATAAAAAAAAGCTTGAATAAATTGAATACGGTACTAAACAGCAAATGGTGCATGCACACAATTATTGTTTAACAGATAAAACCCTACTACAAATAACAAAATAATATTTTGTTCCGGAACATTTTATTCTGTTAACGTATTATATTTATGAGTGTTAAAGAACAGAGACATTCTATGTTAGAACTCTTTTGAGAATCGACCATATTATGTAACCAATATAATGTTACTGCTGATTTAAAAAAAAATAAGATACAGTTTTATACCTTAACGTTGTTTGGAACAGAATTATAGAAGGCTACAGGAATAACAACAACTGAAACAAGTACAAAATAACATATTTTAATATTTTTTTATGTGGTTATGTGGAATACTAGGTTAGAAATGTGTTCAGTATGCAGCGCTGTCTAGTAAGTAAAATAACTGACGCATGTCAATGTGGTGAAATTGACATCGAGTTGTTGCAACGTTCGACGAGTTGGAGAGACTTACTAGTATTCTAAAAATATTTTTATCCGACACTGATTAAGCAGAGGAAAGAGAACTGATATTATGAAGTAGTATAAAAAAAATGTTTTATTATACTTATCGGCCCACAGAGTGAGCGGTTGCCTTTAATGGTTAAAGCAAAGAACTGCAGTCTTCGTTAATCCCTGCATGATCGTAAGATACAAAAGAATGGGTTCGAATAAATGGAGTATTTGCATCTGTTAAGGCCCTGTCACACTAGACTGCGTTTGCACAGCGTTGTTAAAATAAACAAAGCGCCAAGAGATCGCAAGAACAATCTTATATTTTTGGTGACATGGATATTGAACGCGTCTTCACGGCGTCTTCATTGTAATCATGGCGTTGATACGGAGCTTCCACGGCGTGTAATGCGTTTTACGGCGTTTAAATTGGCGATTATCTGCGTTCGGACTGCGCTTCTACTGCGTTTTTTGAGCTTCCACTGCGCTTTAGAAAAATAAAGCTCCGTTCAAGCGCCATACACACGTAGCATAGGCGCGGTAGAAACACCGCACAATCTCCATACAAGCGCCGTGGCTAACCATGGCGTTCATTCGGCGATCATTTTGCGCTTTCATGACGCTCTTGTTGCGTTGTAGAAGATGCTACTAGTTGCTACGGCGTCCTTACTGCGTACCCACTGTGCGCTTATCAGAACGCCGAGTGACGGCGTTTGTTTTGAGCATGCTCAAATTGCACGCCGTCGGTTGGTGTTCTTTGCGATGCCTCTGCGATGCAGCGGCGTTGTTTGCAATTTTACTGCGCTCTTCGGCGTTCTGAATTTTCTTTGGACGCCGTGAAAACGCCGCCCTGGTGTGACCAGGGTTTAAGTTATTAATTTTATTTCAGGCCAATAAAAGAATAACATCATGCCTGCTATAAGAGGTGGAAATGGTAAAAATATAGGGGGAATGAAAAAACAAACAGAGACCAGACCCTTGAGAGCGTTTTATATATACTGTTTTCTGCAATTTCAGATGTCCGTAGTAGAATCGCCTTGAGAACGAAATGGTCACCGTGATAGCGCTTACAAAATAAAGCGCCGTACACAAGTAATATAAGCGCGGAAGAGACGTTGAACAATCTTCGTACATGCGCCTTAGCTAACCACTGCGTTCATTCGGCGATCCTTTCACGGCGCTTCTGTTGTGTTGTAGGAGCTACTGAATTGCTACAGCGATCCCATTGCGCTCTTATCAGAGCGATGCCCAGTAACGGCGGTTGTTTTGATGCTCAAAATGAGCGCCGTTGGTCGGTGTTTTATGCGATGTCACTGCGATGCTGTGGCGATACTTTCGATCGTACTGAGCTCACATCTGCGTTTTGAATTTTCTTTGGACGCGGTGAGACCGCCGTCATAGCTTCTTAGTGTTAGCTTCTACATGTGGAGGATGTTATCACTCCTGGTGGTGTTTCTTTGAAGTTTGTTACACCCTAGGTTAGCCAAACTCTTAGTTGGTGTCCGGTAAAACCAAACAAATATATATTTATCGTACATCCTCGGAAACTTTTGAAAGATTTATTTTTTTATCTACTTGTTCTATTTACTCAAAAATCTATTTATTTACTTGAGCATCTTAAACATGACACTTTAAGAATAATTTTGTCTTGTCACTACAGGACAAACAAAAGTTTACAAAATACACTCTTTAACACAATGATGTATTAATTTTTTTATTATAATTAATCAACGTTACCAGTTATATGGATCCCAAGTGTCTTATTATCGTTGTCATGGAAACTTATGTTCTATTTTTAGCAGTAATCAAGATTTCATATCAATAGTTTTTTTTTAAGTTAAGCGTTTACCACTCATTAAATATAATTAGTAATAAGTATTTTGAAATATTAATTTGCCAGGTATTAACGATATTACTTTTACAATTAATTAATTTTTGATAAAATACAAATCCATTTGAACCGATAAATTTTAAAATAGCAAACTCTGTCAATAATGTCATGAAGTCTGTCAATGTTTTCATTACTCTCAATAAAGCTTTGAAAGCCTTTAAACAAACGTCGACATACGCTTCTTATTTACCCATTAAACAATATTGGTAGCCATTATTATTTTAAACCGAAATGATTTAATTACATTGAAAGGATATAGACATAACACAAATCAAGGGCGTGCAATGTTCAAGAGTGATGATTTCAAGTATATTCATATTAAAGATATATTCCAATATACCTGTCGTACTTAAAATTTATAAATTTGCTCGAATTGGTTAGAGACATCTTAACTGGTATACGCTTGTTAGCCAAAATTGTATTACATTGAATTCATATATAACCGGCAGTAAATCAAAAAAAGAACATGGATATTGATTGCAACGATATAAATGATTACATGTCAAATTTTAAGGACATTATTTACTAGTTGTGCTGGCGTTTATTGCACAATTTCCTTCCGTGTTAAGAAAAAATTTAAAAAAAGCTAGATCAGCTAGATCAATAGTGTACTTTATACAAACTTAAGTATATAAAGCTATATATCTGCTGAAAAATTATCGTCTGAATAAAAAGAATATATATATATATATATATATATATATATATAAAGGAATATACGTCCAAAAAGCATGTAGAGAGTAAATATAGTACTAAACAGCGATAAGTACATGTACAGAATTATTGTTAAACGAATGAAACCATACTAAAATGATAAATTAATCCCTTTTTTTATTCTGTTTACTAACAATGTGTATGAGTATTTAATAACAGAGACTTTGCATGTTATAATATTTCAAACATTGACCATAAGATAATGGAACAAATACAATTTTACTGTTGATAAATTGGAAAATAAATTCCAAAGATAAGATTTATACCATTAACGCCGCTCGTAACAGAATTTCAGAACTGAAACAAGTACAACACATTTAAAAAAAAAATATCTGAAGAACTAGGTTAGAAATGTGTTCGGTATTTAGCTCTGTCGAGTAAGTAAAATAACTGACGCATAGTTGACAACGACCCATTGCAACGTTTGACTGATAAAAGGAGCTGTGTGATTTATTCTAAAATTATTATTTGACACCAAAAACGTATAGCTAAGATAACTTATATTATGACAATAGTTACTTAAGTTAAGTTATTATAAAGTCACGGTATAGTGATTATATTATATTAGTGATATATATTTCAGACCCAAAACGGGTTGAACTCGGCAGCCAGTTTATCATTTACTGTGCTCAAATTTGATATTAAAAAATATTGATGAATACAAAACAGTTTCTTTAAAAATGAATAATAAAAATGTTTTGAGTTCACACGAAGTAGATAGGTTATGTTTAAAATTCTACACACTATATAGGTGATCACAAAATGAATATATAGTGGCGTTAAACTATTAAAGAAAGTACCCTCTTTACTTGTCTCGTTATAGGGAACACAGCTTTCTATGCATAGTTTATTAATTATTTAATTCAAATTAGACATATTCAGAAAGAATCTCATAGATTACAATAACGTTCTGTATTTTCAATTATGAGCATAGTATATCTTTAATATTATAAACAATATTGCTTGTTCAAATAACAATGTAATCAATAGATTACGGTTATTGTTTGTATTACAAGCCATGTCGATATTATCATGAAGTCTTACAATGTACACAACACGCGCGATATAGCTTTTAAAGTCCTTAAACAGTCGTCGATATACTCTTCTTATTGATTCGTTGCATAATATTGAAATCCTTTATTATTTTACAACCGAAAGAAAATTCATGTTGAGACGATACAGACATGACAAAAAGTCAATGGCGCGCAAGGTGTTCGTGTAATTATCCGTATTGAAGATTTATTCCAAAGTACCTGTGGTACTTACAGGTTATAATTTACTTGAGGCAGAAACATCTTTACTGGTACGTGTTTGCTACTTTCTTTAATAGTCTTCTATTAGAAAGAGTTATTATGTATTATTTTCTTTCATATATTGTTCAAAGAAATGACTTTTATACTTTACTGAGTTAATTATCTTTTGTCACAGTAAAATGGTAACATTGCTTCCTTGTATTTGACGAGCGTATTCATATTCTTCTCTATGTGACATTTATTGTATTTTGACACAAAATGTTTGAAAAGTCACACAATGTATTTCTAGTGGTTATCTCGGTTTTTATTTATTATTCGTTATTATCAGGTTTTCACGGATTATGACTTGCCTAGGGTTTGGCTCTGAAACTTTTTTTAAAAAGTTCTATTTGCGTTAGAATTTATCATTGCGTGAATACAATTAATTGTCAGTTAATGTACGTTTGCAGTGTTCAATGCATCGGTAAATTTGAATATAAAACAAAAAGTGTATTTTACGTTTATGTATAAAAAGATAATCATGC